CACAGACTGAAACAGGCTCCAGGCTCTGAGCTGGCAGTCAGCACTGAGCCCGACGCGGGGCTCGAACCCACGAACCGCGAGATCATGACCTGAGCGAAAGTCGGACGCTTAACCGACTAAGCCACCCAGGCGCCCCTGATTCTTTTCTTTTAATGTTTATTCATTTTTGAGAGTGAGAGAGAGAAGAACATCGAGAGAGTGGATCACAGAATCCGAACCAGTCTCCAGGCTCTGAGTTGTCATCACAGGGCCCAACGTGGGGCTTGAACTCGCAAACTGTGAGATTATGACCCGAGCTGAAGTCAGACGCTCCACCAAATGAGCCACCCAGGCACCTCAGGTCTGATTCTTTTCAACCACACCTTTGTAGAGCAGGCATTTCTAAAAGCGCAGGCATCACCTCTTCTTGCACACCACCGAGCACTGTGTGTCACAAAGGTAGATACTTTAGAAGACCTTGTGCTGATGGATGTTTCCATGTTTAGCATTGAAAACACAACCCAGTGGTACTACATGGCAGCACATGCTGTGAGTATCTCTCCTGTTACACCCATCTGCATGGTTCTGGGACTGTTGAGCATGTCAAGGACTTTGGGCATGAGGGGATAGAACTCTCCATAACTTGAGTCTTCAAGGTGGCCTTCTGCATTCTTCTGAGGTAGAGTGGACAGCAACAGTCCTTTCTAAAGGCACTCCACCTAGATTTTCTTCGTGGCGGCATTGACTATCCACAAGCCCTGGCTTCTGTTTCTTGCCCTCTTGGGGTGAGGAAAAGGTGGAGTTGCAGGACTCCACATCATAGCTCCCCCCACAGAGGCTTCTCTAAGTATCCAAGGCCAAGCAGATTCTGGCTCTACAGGACAGTCCCAACTCATTGCAACTTTAATAAATGGTTTTCACATGTTTCTAACCATGGGGTAAGGAAGGCCTACTTAAAGTACAAAAACACAGAAGCCATGAAGAAAAAAAGACTCAAGCAGCGTAAGAATTCAAAATTTGGAATAAACTATATCACAAAGTTCAAAGAAAGTGGTATATTAAAATATCTGCAGCAGGCATAACAAAGGATTAGTAGTATGAAACCGCTTGAAAGCATAAAGTTGAACAAAAATCAAAATGGCTGCACTAATGCTTCTTTCTGGGAGGCTCAATTTTATTTTATTTTATTATTATTTTTTTAAATGTTTTATTTATTTCTAGGAGAGAGAGAGACAGCTTGAACAGGGGAGGGTCAGAGAGAGAGGGAGTCACAGACCGAAACAGGCTCCAGGCTCCGAGCCGGCAGTCAGCACAGAGCCCGACGCGGGGCTCGAACCCACGAACCGCGAGATCATGACCTAAGCGAAAGTCGGACGCTCAACCGACTAAGCCACCCAGGCGCCCCTGGGAGGCTCAATTTTAAACTAAGTAATATTTATCCTCTCTTCTGTAGACCTCCCTCCTCCCTTCTTAGCCTTTTGTTTCAGGAACCCAGTATCACCCTTAAGACATGACAATCAAGGCTGACAGCATGTACAAAATCTCTGTCGAAACCAGCTAGATCCTGTATTTCCCTATAAAACTCGCCAGTCCCTTCCTCGGGGGGGCTTGCAGTTTGAAGGCCTTAGCATACTGCAGCTTCTTGTGCCCCCACAAAATAATAAACTATCTTCCTTCCCTATACCCAAAGTCCATCTTCATGTAACGTATTTCGGCTCTGGGACACAGAAGTCGATTCTCAACAAGTATATCAACAATTCTTACAATATGAAATAGGGAAGGTGAACAATTTAATAAAAAGGGGCAAAGAATATAAAATGGCACTTCACAGTAAAAGAAATATAAAGAGCAAATAACAAAGGAAAATATTCCAAATATCACTGGAAACAGAGAAATACAATTAAAATACTAAAATATAACTGTTCTTTTTTTTCAGAACACCTGGGTGGCTAAGTCAGTTCAGTGACTGAATTTTTTTTTTCTTTTGAAGTAAGATCAGAGGTTTTAATAAGCCAAATGTACTTGCTTGATCTTGGGGCAAGTCCAGGAGTCAAAGAGCCATGAGTTCCCTCACCTGTGTTCACGGATCTGCCCTCACATTCACTCTTACACTGAGACTAGCACTCCTCTACTCTACATTTTCTTTTTCTTTTTTGGGGGCGTTTAAGTGTTTTTTTCTCCACATTTTTTATGACTTTCTGGGGTCCTGTTGTTGTTGTTTTAATTTACATCCAAATTATTTAGCAGATAGTGCAATAATGATTTCAGGAGTAGATTCCAGTGATTCATCCCCTATGTATAACACCCATTACTCATCCCAACAAATGTCTTCCTTAACACCCCTTACCCATTTAGCCCATCCCCCAACCCCCAACCCCTCCAGCAACTCTCTGTTCTCTATGTTTAATTAAGTCTCTTATGTTTTGTCTCCATCCCTGTTTTTATATTATTTTTGTTTCCCTTCTCTTGTGTTCATCTGGTTTGTATCTTAAATTCCACGTATGAGTGAAGTCATATGATGTATGTCTTTCTCTAATTTTGTTGAGCATGATACCCCCTGGTTCCATCCATGTTGTTGTAAGAGTGACTGAATCTTGATATGATCCCAGGGTCATGAGATCAAGACCTGCATCAGGTTCCACACTGAGCATGGAGCATGCTTGAGATATTCTCTCTCTCTCTCTCCCTTTGCCCCTCTCCCCAGCTCAAATTCTCTCTCTCAAAAAATTTTTGAAAATATGTGTAAATATATATATATAAAATTAGCAAGAATTAAAAATACTACTAATATCCCTTGTTGGATCTTTAGCTAGACTAACCAAGAAAAAAAAAAAAGAGCAAAACTCAAATAAGATTTTAAACAAAAACAGCCATTACAACAGATGCCACAGAAATGCAAAAGATCCTAAGAGACTACTATGAACAATTACAAGCCAACAAACTGGACAACCTAAAAGAAACTGATACATTCCCAGAAACACACAACCTACCAAAACTCAATCATGAAAAATTAGAAAGTCTGAACAGACCGATAACAAGTAGGGAGATTAAATCAGTAATCAAAAACTCCTGACCAAGCAAAGTCCAGGGCCAGATAGCTCCACTGGTGAATTCTCCTTCCCAAACTCTTCCAAAAAAAAAAAAAAAAAATTGACCTGAATAGACTTCCAAATGGCAAATAGACACATGAAAAGATACTCAACATCACTCTTCATCACAGAAATGCCCATCAAAATCACAATGAGGTATCACCTCACACCTGTTAGAATGTGATACAACAAATACTGTATGGTGTCATTTATATGTGAAATCTAAAAGAGCCAAACCCACAGAAACAGAGTAGACTGGTGGTTGCCAGGGCCTAGGGGACAGGTAAATAAGGAGATGTTGGTTAAAGAGTACAAACTTCCAGTTATAAGAGGAGTAAGTCCTGTGGATCTAATGTTCAGCATGGTAACTACAGTTAATACTGTACTCTGTATTTGAAAGCCAATGACAGAGTAAATCTTAAATGTTCTCACCCTAACAACAACAAAATGGTAACTATGTAGGGTGATGGATGTGGTAACTAACCTTATCGTGGTAATCATTTCACAATAGATATGTGTATCACATAATTACACTGCACATTAAAAAATGTTTTATGTCAATTATATCTCAATAAAGCTAGAAGAAAAGAGGAACAAGTATCCAGTGCTGGGAGTTATGAAGGCAATTAGGTTGTCTCAAATTTTAAAATGTATATGCTCTTTGACACAGCATTCAATGCTCAACAGCTTACCTAGAGAAGCACCTGAACTTGTGAATGAGGAATCATGTAAAAAAAACATTAATTACAAGATGGTTGGTAAAAGCTTAACATTGGAAATAATCTTAAATGTCCTCCACAATAAGCATGGCTTAATAAAGCTTGGGATGGTCAGAGCAGAGATTATGCAGCAGTGAGAAAGCCATCATGCTGAGCACTGACACAGAAAGATTTCTAAGACTCATGAAGTAAAAATAGGTGAATTGTTCAACAATATGCATAGTGTAATCTATTTTTTAAACATGTACACTTACAAAACCACATTTCTATATTTATCTATGTATGTAAATGGATAGAAATTCATCTGAATAAATACATACTAAGCTGACAATAGTTGTTTACTCTGGGTAGCAAAGTGGGCTTTGGGATGCAGCACTCAAATGACTTTAGCAATGACTGTTCTGTTAATTGACATTAGTTCAAGAACAATGCATTATATATTACATGTACAAGTTTAAAACAAGAAGAAGGGAATATCATGGCCTCAAGGCTATTCAAGGACAGATGTATAAAATCCATTAGGTCTGCTTTCCCTTGAGGGGACACAGACAGCCTGACTAGGGTATGGGAAGAAGGGACAGGGTAGAGAAAGGGAACCACCACCTGCCCAGTGTCATCCCCACCCAGATGCCAGATGCCAGCCTCCTTTCTGACACTCCCCTTAACTAAGACCTTTCGTAGAAACCCCTTCATGTGTCCTCCCTCCCTTTCCTGGTTTGATTCCACTGTGTTTACTTCTTTGACTAAGGACATTCTCCCTTCTGTTTTTGTGTCCCTTAATTACAATTTTTTAAGACTTGGAAAGTCATTTGTCAATTACATGGCATACCAGGACTCCAAATAAATTCCAAGAATTGACAGCTGCCTATTCTACTTTCCACCAATGCCACAGGTCACTTCCCTGGGAAATAGCCTCTGAGACTCCATGATTTACATGGAAGAGAAGAGCTAAGAGACGCTCTTACTGATAAGAGCTCTTAGGAACACCACCTCTGATAGAGAGGAAGCAGAGACTGAACAGAGGAAGAAATGGGGCTGTGGTGCAAGCACAACAGAGGACTTAGCAGATCCCAGAAGTAGCTCTGGAGCTGAAGGGCTATTTGGAGTTATCCCAAAATAAAGAACAAGACTGGACCTTTGTACCTCCACCTGGACCAGTCATTAAGTGTGGGCTCATCTGGGAAGGCAGTGTTGCTTTGACCAAAGCCACTTGTTTCAGTGGAGGGTGAGTCCCTGGAGACACTCAGCTGTGGGAGGCAGCTGGGGGAATGGGCACCTCAGCCCCAAAGAGAAGTCTGGTAAGTTCACCTTGTCCAGAGGAATTTGGAGCTAAGCGACCATTCATCTCTGAGGGTGGAGGAAATGAGGCAAGGGTACACATTTTAGAGGTGGGGAAACATCTGGTATGTGTTCTGTGATGTCCTTCCTGAAAGTCAGTCAACAACGCAAGCATGGACTGGGTGTCCAGGTTGAGGCATCATTTATCAGACTTACCTGTGTCAACTCCTTCTGTAGGACCCATGAGGCACAGTTTGAGGGGGCAATATATCCAAATTAATGGGGGGAGGGGATGGTTTGAGCAGAAACAGGGAGCAATGCTTTGAGTTTAAATGCCCTGGTAATGGGGTGTCTGGTGGGCTCAGTCACTGGAGCATGGGATTTTTATCTCAGGGTTATGAGTCTGAGCCCCACATTGGGAGTAGAGATTACTTAAAAATAAAATCTTAGGGACACCTCGGTGGCTCAGTCGGTTGAGCATCCAACTTTGGCTCAGGTCATGATCTCGCTGTCTATGGGTTCGAGCCCGCATCAGGCTCTGTGCTGACAGCTCCGAGCCTAGAGCCTATTTCAGATTCTGTGTCTCCCTCTCTCTCTGCCCCTCCCCAGCTCGTGCTGTCTCTCTGTCTCAAAAATAAATACACATTAAAAAAAAATCTTAAACAGAAAAAAAAATGCCGTGGTATTGATCTCACCTTAGCTTCAGTATCTAGAAAGAACTTAATTTGCAGTAAATCAAGTCCACTGCTTGAAAAGTAAAGAGAGGAAAAGAGGAATACCACATTTTGAGTGCTGCTAACAAGTCCCAGCAGTCTAGAATTAAGTTCACAGGCTCCCTCCCATTCTCATCCCATCTGCCTGTTGGGTTTAGGCCCTTGCGCATGAAAGTGCTGCTATACAGAGTCAGGGGCTTCCATCAACCTAAAGAGCTGAGCACAATAAGGACCCACAGTTACCAACACGGAAATGATTCTTATGCCATTCCTATTCACAAAGGAAACAGTCACTCTTTGCCTCCCAAACTGAAAAAACCTATATAACTTGGTTTAGGCCACATGGCAGTTCTAGATCACTAGATGGGGCGGGGCTTGGGGTGGGCGGGGGGACTTCAGATAGGGTCATGATCTCACTGATTGTGAGTTCAAGCCCCCCATCAGACTCTGTGCTGGCAGCATGGATTCTGCTTGGGATTCTGTCTCTCTCATTCTCTCTCTCTCTCTGCCCCTCCCCTACTTGCTTTCTCTCTCTCTCAAAATAAATTTAAAAAATAAACTTAAAAATACATACATCATGTACATACAGATTGACAAGGTCGTTCTTCAGTGCTGCAGATGTGAACTTGGCCAGCCACTGTGCCTCCCCTCCCCCTGCACCCCTGATAAAAACACCTTTTGTTCTACTGTAACCTTCGCCTCATGGGGAGCACAGAACAGGAGGCTTGCTAAACATCCAGACCCCACCTGGCCCCACCGCTGCCCCAAGGCCTCTGCTCACCTCTAAGGACACGCCTAGCTCTCCTGAGCTATTGATGACCCAGCTTCCTTCTCCTAAGATTTGATTGCAAAAGTATAAAGGGCAGTGGAGAAAGGGGTACAGACACCAGAGGTAGAAAGTATACCCCGTGCTGGTTTCAGGGAGTAAAAGCCCTGTGATGCCTCAGTTTCTGAAGCAGCCCATCCCCTTAAGAATCTGGAATATCAGGGGCACCAACTCCCCCCTCCTTGGCTTCTTTGGGACTCAGGCTTCCTGTGCAGGTCCCTCCCAGGAGGGCACTGACTGGGAACTGTGCAGTCACCGAGTGGCCTCGGGCTCCACATCCACAGAATGTCCACAAGCCGGTGACACACCACTGGAGAAGGTGGGCCCAGGAGAGGGGCTCCAGGCAGGACAGCTCATGATCCACGACCAGAATGACACTTTTCAAGTATTTTTCAAATACTTTTATTTTTATTTTAGAGAGAGAGAGAGAGAGCATGCATGAGTGAGGGAGAGGGAGAGAAAGGGAGAGAGAGACAGACAGAGACAGAGAATATCAGTCAGGCTCCACACTCAGAACGGAGCCCACTGCCATGACCCTGGGATCACAACTGGAGCCAGAATCAAGAGCAGGATGCTCAATCCACCATAAAATACTTTTTAAAAGGTTCAAGTATTCTTTTTCTAATTCCGACAAACCAGTGGGGAAAAGATACTTTTAAGTCAATCAGGATAAAGGAATGCTTTATTCTATGGTATTTTAAAAATTACTGTTCAGGGTGCCTGGGTAGCTCAGTCACTTAAGGCTCCAACACTTGGTTTAGTCTTAGGTCATGATCTCACCGTTTGTTGGATTAAGCCCCACATACAACTCTGCGCTGATGGTGTGAAGTCTGCTTGGGATTTTCTCTCTCCTTCTCTCTCGCTGCCCCTCCCCCACTCATGCACATGCTCATTCCTATGTGCTTTCTCTCACTCTCTTTCAAGATAAATAAATAAACTTTAAAGAAATTACTGTTGGGTGTGCTAATGACATTACTATAGTCCGACAAAAGTCCTTATCTGTTATAGATTCCTACTCAAGCATCTATGAGTAGAATGGTCCGATATCACGAATTTGCTTTTTTTTTTTATTTTTTTCTTTTTAGTCTTTATTTTTGAAAGAGAGAGAGAGAGCGCACATGCACAAGCAGGAGAGGTAGACACAGAATCTGAAGCAGCCTCCAGGCTCTGAGCTACTAGCACAGAGCCTGATGCAGGGCTTGAACCCATGAACCGCAAGATCATGACTAAGCCAAAGTCAGAAGCTCAACCAACTGAGCCACCCAAGCACCCCAGGAATTTGCTTTAAAAGCCACCAGTACAACTAAGTGCATATGGGATGAAGCAGTGTGATAATAACTGAAACTGGGGAATGGCCACATGGGGTTTCATTATAACAGGCTTTCCACTTTTGTGTATGTTTGAAACTTTAAATAAAAAGTTAAAAATAAATACACTCATCACTTTAGGGAGTTAGTTTCTCACACATATAGTACACCCACTTTTTTTTAGTTTTTTTTCTCTTTCTCTGCCTTATTTTACTTGTAAAAATAATGGATTTGTGTAAAAATATGTAACAATACCGAGAGCTGTAAATCCACCTTCCTTTAATACATGTGCCAACTGTGTCACATGTGTTTCTCATAACCTTCCCAATATGCAGGACCCTGCTGGACACTGGTAGGTGCTCCTTTTAATGCAGTTAGAATCACTGTTCCTCACAAGACTGGAAGCGATCTTTCAGACTGTCTATTCCAATTCCTTCATGTTGCTGATGGGGAAACTGAGACCCTGGAAGAAGGGCTAACTTGGTCAGGGTCCTCGAGCTGTTTCGTGGCAGGACCATAACCAGCTCTCACCAATCTCAGGCAGCATTTGCTGCATAACGGCCAAGGGGACCTGCAGCCACAGGGCTAGTGAGTCGCTGTCTGTCATGCCAAGAGTCAACCCGTTCTCCAACCCCTTCTCAGCCCTTCTTGACAGGAGCTGAGGGAAGGCAAGGTGGGGGAGGGGAGTACAGATCCCAGGTTCAGAGATGGGGGTGGGGGGTAACAGATCTCAGGCTTGAAGAAGACTTGCAGGAGATCCAAGGCCACGGTGCACCGGACGCTCCCAGGCTGCCAGATGCAGCCCCCAGACTCACTTCATCTCTCAAAGACCGACGCCCACCCAGCAGATGCCCACCCAGCAGACGCCCACCCAGCAGACGTCCTCCGTACTCTGGCAGCCCTGCTTCCTACCTCCGCACCGACCCCTACACATGAAGTAGACTCTGCTTTTTGATGCGAAAGGGAAAATAAGAAGGTGCTTTCTTAAAGCCAATAGATATGCAAAAAGAATGCTGCTTTTCAACCTTAAATATAACAAGAGGAAAGGGAGGGTGGGACGGGAGGTGGGAATTCATGCAAAGTTCTAGGTTAGGATCTGAATTCTCCAGAGCCACTCACTGATCCACAGCCCCAGAGAGCCCAACACTTCCAGGGCCACAGAAGGGGCCCTTAAGGCAGCTCACAACTATTCCACATGTAAATTTGAGTAATGGTTTGCCCTGGCTTGTCCATTCTGAGGAGCAAACCACTCTCAATCCGGGGGTGGGGGTGGGAGTGAGGGGGGTGTCACTAGAGGGTCTACATCTCTGCCGTCCATCATGGTTGCTCTCAGTCATGCGCAGCTACGAGCACTTGAAATATGAGCCCCAAAGTGAGAAATGCTGTAATATAAAATGCACACCAGATTTCAAAAACTGTACAAAAATAAGAAGGCAAAAAAGCCTATTAATTTTTATATTGATTAGATGTTAAAATTGTATTATTTTGGATATATGGGAGTAACATATTAAAATTATTCTGTTTTTACTTTATTGAAGTATAAGTGGCATATAATAAACTACATGCATTTTTAATATATTTATTAAAATATATATCTCAGCCCAGAGCCTGATGTGGGCCTCCAATGCACAAACCAAGACATCATGACCTGAGCCAAACAAAGTTGGACGCTTAACTGACTGAGCCACCCGGGTGCCCCTACATGCATTTTTTAAATGTTTGTTTATTTATTTTGAGAGAGCGTGCACACATAAGCAGGGGAGGAGCAGAGAGAAAGGGAAAGAGGGGATCCCAAGCAGGCTCCATGCTGTCAGTACAGTGGCCAACGCAGGGGCAATCCCACAAAACAAGAGGTCATGACCTAAGTCAAAACCAAGACTTAGATGCTTAACCAACTGAGCCATCCAGATGCCCCAAACTACATGTATTTAAAGAATACAATTTGCTAAGTTTTGGCATTGTATACCATGAAACCATCATTAACATCAGTATCATGAACATATCCATCACCCCCAAAAAGTTGT